GGAAAATGTCGTAGGAGCATTCAGGTGCTGCCAAACTTTCTTTGACAAATCATGAATGTTCGGGTAAATTTTTAAGTATTTTTTTCCCAATTTTCCAGGGAAACTTTTTCATACTCTGCTCTGAACTGTCTGAAGATTTCAATGGAAAATCTTTATATCTTTCCTCAAAATTGAGTTTTTCCAAAGAGTAAATGTAGCAACTTTTGGATGTTCATACGGGGTTTTTCCTTAGCACAGCAGTAATGCAAAATGTAATCCAATTCTACGGCATCGCAGCAAACCCGTTCGAGTCGATTATAACACCCAACAACACTGTTTCTTGTGTTGAGGGTTGCCGAAGACGGGAAGACTAAGGCGGTGCCTGGATGGGCGATCTGATAAAATGTTGCGATGGTCGGTCAACCTAGTCGACCTAGTCTCGGCAGACGTTATTACTCCATCTGGACATCGTTTACCAACCGGTGACCAGGATGCTCCATGAGGTGACAGATAAATGCTTCAATCCACGCGCAAACCATAACTCAAACCCAGCCTGGAAATGCATTCACCTTTCACTGTAGGAAGCCATCTTTGGTGGTGTTGCCAGGTTTCGGTCACTGCCGTGTCACGTGTTCTCCGTGAAACGTTGATGCTGTGAAAAAACATTGTACTGCCGTGCTAAGGAAAAACGCCGTATGAGCCTTCAGCGTTGCCAAATTTCCTTTGATAAAACACGACTTTCCTGGGGAACTTTTGAATATATTTTATTTCTAATTTTCCAGATAATTTTTCTCGCATTTCTACCTAAAGTTACTGAAAATTTCATGGAGATATATTCATAACTTTCTTCAAAAGTCAACATTTATCAGAGGAAATTTGGCAACCCTCGAATGTTCACACGGCGTTCTTCCTTACGTTTCCCATACTCCCTCCTTTCCCTCCTTTTGTTCACCATACTTATGGTGAATGCGATTAGAGCTACAGTTTTTGCTGGGAAAGAGTCTTGATGGTGATTTTCTTATGCACGGATATCACTGTGCCTCAAACTATATTTTGCCCAGTGCACTATGGTCTGGGGGCGCCGAATTGTGGCCAAAAATCCGATTTTTGAAAGTACGAAAATCTAGCAATCGAGCATATAATCCTTATCTACATCCTTTAGTAGGTGTGAAATGACCCATCAAATCTTCTGTAATTGTTTTTACGATCAGATACATGGTGGCGAACTTCACATCCTCGAGGTAAGTAAACAAACGTGAGAATTTAAAGTGCACGTTATCGTGTATTGCCTTGTGTCGTTTTGTGATAAGTTGGCGTAGATCCCCGATCAAATATGGACAAGAAAGGTGAAAGTAAGTACTTTTTGATGGTTTAATCGTTTTTAGTATTAAGATTGATTTTATGACCACCATGAGACTCCAAAGTTTTGTCCTGATTTAGGCAAAAAATTGCCTTCATCTTAAGTTTTAGTTATCACTAACACGAGCTAACACGTTCTTATCAGTGCAAGAATGTAGCTCATATGTTCCTCTAACAGGATATCATCGGTTTTTTTGCCGCTTTTTGCCTCTGGGGAATTTTTTGGTCATTTTAGTGAAGGACTTATACGATTTTCTGCGCAATCTGATTTCATTGCAGAAGGTGATAAGAGAGATGAGACAAGGTCAACGTTTGCTACAGGGTGATTCATATGTATTTTTGGCTGCTGAATCCGAAAATGATATCAGTTTTTTTCCAGCACTTGCCAGATTTCCGGAAAATAAAGTTTTTTTTGCAAAAAACCTCATTTTTAAGCAAAATAATATTTTCTCCGGAAAAACGACAAATGGTGGATAAAACTTAGGTATTATTTTTTATTCTTCAGCCTGTATACATAATAGAAATTTATTAACTCGGCCCGCTGTGGTGCGTAGTGGTTGGAGTGCTGGCTTTAAGATCAAGAGGTTCCGAGTTCAATTCCTGGCTAGGCAACCCGAGAATGGTAATCCGCAAGGTTTTAGGGTCTGATCTGGGTCTGGGTCTGAAGGCCCCGGAGGCAAAAAGATGCAAAAAAACCTATGATATCCTGTTAGAGGAACATATGAGCTACATTCTTGCACTGATAAGAACGTGTTAGCTCGTGTTAGTGATAACTAAAACTTAAGGTGAAGGCAATTTTTTGCCTAAATTAGGACAAAACTTTGGAGTCTCATGGTGGTCATAAAATTAATCTTAATACTAAAAACGATTAAACCATCAAAAAGTACTTACATTCACCTTTCTTGTCCATATTTGATCGGGGATCTACGCCAACTTATCACAAAACGACACAAGGCAATACACGATAACGTGCACTTTAAATTCTCACGTTTGTTTACTTACCTCGGAGGATGTGAAGTTCGCCACCATATATCTGATCGTAAAAACAATTATATAAGATTTGATGGATCATTTCACACCTACTAAAGGATGTAGATATGGATTATATGCTCGATTGCCAGATTTTCGTACTTTCAAAAATCGGATTTTTGGCCACGATTCATTAGACCTAGAATCTTTATAATAATTCTAACCATGAAAATCAGCGCAGAATGGCTGACAGCCTCCAATGAGTATAAGAATGTCAAAGCTATTTAGGTCTAAGTAGTATTGAGTATATCTAGAAAATTTTGCTAGCGGGGTTTGATGATCAAAGAGTAAATTATTTTTAAAAAATCGCTAGAAATGAAAATTTTTAGGGACAATTTTTGGTTCGGGGAGGGGGCACCCTAAAGGGCTAATGCCATATGTCTTGCTAACACGAATATCACCATATTGAATGTGCAATTTTTTAACTTACGCTCCAGTCAGGATCAATAGACCGAAAAACATAGTACTGACTTGATTCAATTTCAATCATTTCTTCTCCTCTTATTTTTCTGGATTAAATACGTATTTTTGGGGCTTCTGTCTCGATAACCTCTTGATCATTGAAAAATAGATTTCATATTATAGTGAGACAACCTTCAAAACATTAAACTGACATTCAATTTGGTATTCTAATCATATTTTGGCTTTTCTTCTAATTTTTTGGTTTCAAGGGCCTGCCGCCATCTTGGATTTAAGAATTTTGTAAAACTAAGGTCAAATTTGAATTCAGTGACCCAAAAAACATAAGTACACCAAATTTCATGATATTCTGATAATTTCCTGATTTATGGCCACAATTCGGCGCCCCCAGACCATAGTGCAGTGTGAAGAAATAAGTGTATTGAGGTCTGATCTATACGAGTATACCTTGTCTTGGAGTCAGTTTGTGGAATGGAGCGTGTGCTACTTATTTAGTGCTGAATTTCATCCCTTTAAAAATACCGATCTCGTTTGGAACGGGAAGACTCCTTTTTGAGTCAAAGTGATAAATTCTAATGTGACTGGAGCTTTGGCTGTCTTTCTGACGGATCCCAAGTCCCACCCCCACACTCGCTCTCGCCATCCCTCAACCAATCCACCTGGCAGTCTTTTGTTTCTGTTTGGTATGATAATCTCGACTAAACAATTCACTTAAAGTAGATGTGACGCGCTGCGGAACCTCTTTTACATTTATTCATTTATTTATTTATTTTAATTCGTAAATCGCCGCCAAATCCTCTTAGTGCGCATTTTGAGTTGGCGAAGACAACTTTTTATACATTATGAAAACTTCTCTTGAGAGGTTGTGAAAAAATATATATAAAAATGAATACAAATTATTCATTTTTCTCTCATTCTCATTTAATCTCAAAATCTCCAGTCCCTGTATGCTCTCTATGTCAACACTCCCCCCTTACAACCGACCATATTTTACTTTCTTGCCCTAAAACCTATGCCACACGTATCAAAATTCGAAGTTCCCTCCCTCTTAACATCCACCCTTTGTGTTCAGATAGTTCAATGGTAGTAACAGAAATTTTAAAACTCTTCAAGAAATTAAATTTAAAAATTTAAAATTGCCTAGTCCCCGACGTAAATAGCCTAGATGCTGATCGTCGTTAACTAAAACTAACTAACTAACTATTGATTTATATTTTTGAGCATGTACAGGGTTCAGGAGAATGTTTCCTCAAAATTGTAAAATTAAAAGTTTTTTTTATCATAAACACCCAGAAATTTTTAAATTCACCGAAGACGACCAAAAACCTAAGCTGTACTTCACCACGCTGCAAGTTCATCTAAAGACTGATTACTGGGATCATAATGAAGTACATGAAAAACGGGAAGAAGCTCCTCTTTTTGTCGTTGGGTCGTCGCACAGAGTTGATTTGGAGCTTTAGATGATTTTCTTTGAATGTAAGTTGGATCGCGTTAAGCAGGAAAGGACCAAGCCACATCAGCTATTGCCATATTTACCTGGGAAATTTAATTTTTTAAATGAAAACGGTTGTGCAGATTGTTGTGCAAATTTCAGTGACTTTTCTGCACTGCAATATTCAGAACTTACACGCATCAGAAAAGCGAATGAATGATTATAACGATTAGGTATTTAAATTTTAATTTGAATGCTGATTTTTACAAAATTTACATCTTTTTACATCTTTTTTATATATAAAAGTGATAATGATTGATCAATGGAAAGTTTCACGACGTATTTTACACAATTAGGAGATCGAAGATCTAGTTTACAAAAAACACACCTTTTCACAAATCATAAAGAATAACAATCAATTTTTTCAGAAAAATGGAAAAAATCGATCGTAAAACAGTTAAGTGTTCATTTTGTTCTGTTCGTCCCACTGAACCCTCAATTTATCAAACCTATAAATCGCTTCAAGAGAACGAATTTATTGGTCGAACCGACTTGATGAAACATGTTTGATCACATGATTCAAACAATGAATCCTACAACCGAAATTTTGTCTAGCTAAACTGAAGAGTCAAGGTGGAACATCGTGACTTACACGGTCGAACTTATTATCCCAGTGTTGGAGGGGAATCAGATCATTTGTTGACTTAAATATTTTCTACTGACTATCGTGTATCTTGAACTGCCATGAGTGATAAAGCCATTGAGATAGACGATAAACACATTGCAAGTCTTTTAACACTTATAATTTTTATAATGTAATCAGCATCACAAAAAGCAAACTATGAGGAATTTTAAGCCATATTCAAACCAATATAATATTTTTGGAGTTTGTAACATTGTTGGACTTTATACGACTCAGGTAAAAATAAATGGACCATCAGCTGCTCATATTTGTCACATGAATTCACAATAATATTCATGCCTAGAATTTAAAGAAGGTGTTAACCGAGGAATCGAGATTGGCAAACTTATTTATTGATTACTTTACATTATGTGATAACTTAAATCCCGGTTTCAGTTAAGTTTGGTTTAAATTTTGCGATTCAAAAAACTTAATTTGAAACGCCGTGTTTCGGGCTCCAAATTGTTGGAATGATGCAACATTGCAACTTCACTCCTTTTGGCAGGAAAAGGATCCAAACCACATTATTGACAATATTGAAATACTCTAGGAGCATTCTTCAACGGAAAATAACTGCTATATATTTTGAAATTAAATCGCAATTTTGGCGTTAAAATAGCTGGGGCTATCAAGATCCGAGCGATTAAAGATCCTTGTCGCAATTTGATTTCTATAAAATTGCATTCGACAAAATCGAATTTTTTTCTACTTTTATCACGATTTTTCAGATTATATTGCTATACATTGCCGGCAATAGAATCTCGATTTTATTGCAAATTTATGCGATGAAATCACAATGCATCGCAATTTTTTGTCCAATAATGTTGCAATAAACTGACGTCGATGAAATCGCGGTACATTCTCCGATCAAATCGCAACTTACAGCGATGACTGCTTCTTGGGTAACGGGGAATGAACGATTGAGGATACGGCTCTTGAACTGTCTTTAAAGGCGGTCCTCTCGAAGAAAGTATGTTTAATTTTAATTTTCTTGCCCTTATTTCACATCGAGTCTGAGTTCAAACAACCCGTCACACGTGGATAGTGATAGGATCGTCGCGTTATTCTGGAACATGCGGCAAAACTTGACCCACATCTTCTTGACTCCCCTGTTAGCATCCTCCGCCCTCTCTTTAGCCTTGACCTCGGTCAACACGAAAACCAGCTTTTCCGTGGAGTTACCAGAGGGTCCTAAAGTGAGAGTCGAAGTGTGGTCCCCCTCGCGATGTTTCGTCACAGTTCCGTGGTCTCTCTCAACTCCTCGTAATATCCCCGTCATTAGCCCCTCAAAGTCTGCCAGATTCCTTCCGTGGAAGAATGGAGTCGATTTGTTGACGTATTCCTCCAGACAGTCCTGAAAATAGTAATTTCAGGAATTATTATATGAACCATTTTAGTATTTTTAACCGATTATTTAACGGATTTACCGATTTTTTCTTTACTTATTCATTTTTTTGTGTATTGCACCAGGTGGTTCTAAAATTTCGAAGGAAACAACCAGACCCGGAGAAACATTTTGCCTAACAACAAAACTGCACAAGACAAATTTGAAAGAGCTTTGTGAAAATAGAAAAATTATTATTGAATGACACATTTCCTGTGGTGTTATAGATACAAGAAGCAGCCTGAGACAATGGTGACAGGAGAAAAACAATGGGGGAAAAAGGGAAAACAATGCTATCATACAGCAATAGAAAATCCGAGACATTTCGACTCAAAACTGAGTCATTTTCAGTGGGAAAATATATTAAAAATTAAAAAAATATCGAAGGAAAAACCTGACATGATATGTTGTTGGTCGATATCCGAGAAAAACAACACTATGATAGGGGTGTAGGTCTCAAGTTTTTTTCTTCGATATTTTTTGATTTTTAATTTATTTTCCGACTGAAAATGACTAATTTTTCAGACGGAACGTTCCGAGTTTTTATTGATGTATTTAACCCTTGTTTCCCATGTTTACCCCTTGTTTTTCTCATTTCACTGATATTTTCACCGATTTACCGATTAGTGCCCTGAGCTACTTGCTTCAAAGGATGGGATCCACCATAAATCGGATGGCAAACCTTGGCATGAGAGCAAATTCACTGTTAGTGACTAAAATTAACTTTGTAAATGAGGTCTACGCAGTAGTTAATGAAGGTTACAGGTGACGCGCGTGACGGTTACGAAATTGGTCGGCTTTTTTCTATTTTGGACAAAATACGTCCCAAGGAAAATTGCGCATAAGCTATTTCCGAGAAATTTCAACCTCAGCGCGACAAAATCAGTCAAAACATCACAAAAAATTTAATATGAAGCCTCAAAACAGAAAAAAGAGAAAAAAATTAAAATGCGAAAAGCTTTTCTGGATGTCAGAACAGTGTCTGGCGATACCTAAATGCTGGATTGAGTGCTTCGCCGATAACTTTACATCCGAATGAATCTTAACTGCGGGTTCAATCAAGTCAGCATTCAGGGATCACTAGACACTAGTCTGACATGCTAAATATTAAAACAGTTTATTATTTAAACAGACTATATAAGCTAAAACTCATCAGTTTTCTAATTAATTTTGGAAATTTTCCTCTCGAAACGCATATGACGTGTCTATATTTTTGTAGCCACGATTTCTTGAACGCTTAACTTTTTGTTTTACTCTTTTGATACAATATTTTTTACATATTGTACATCGACGGTGAAACTACCAGACCACGTATTTCCTTTGCGGTGTTTCAAAATCTCCGCTCCCATTTTATTTTTTAAAGGGGAAAAAAATCAATATCATTCCTTGAAGTATTCAAAGAGTTTTTTTCGCGCAGATAAGAAAAATCACAAAAGTTTTTATGAATTGGCCTTCTGTCGTTTTCCGTTAGTGAAATACAGTGTGACAGGAAGCTGTGATGTCGTGAACCGAGATACATGGTCTGGTTGTTTCACCATCGATAGAAAAAAATTACAGTGTCTACGTGCTCGGAAATTTTTAATTTTAAAATACCTTGATCGCAGTCGAATTCCTGTCTCTAAGACTGTTCCTGAAAACGTCGTATTGGGGCGTCGTATTGTAATGACTGTAGTAAGCTTTGATGACGTTGTTGAAAGCTAGAGCGACTTCTCGATTTGGCACGCGCAAAGCCTGGCCAGTGACATTGCTCTTACTAGCCGGCGTGCTAAAGGCGAGATAACCCGTGAGTGTGAGGTAGGACCAGAAAGCTACTTCCTCATAATCGATCTTTGGGTACTCTATGGCCGCAGTAACTATCTTATAAATGTCCTGGCCAGTTAGCAATATCTCCGCGTTGATGATCGGCAGGATCCCATGACGAAGCATTAGATCGGTGAAATCCATCGGATCGGCTGACTTGACCCATAGATTATTGATTGTCAGAGGTTGACCGTCTGGCTTTACGCAGTGCATCACCGAAAGGGGGTTGAACATCCTCTCGTTGCCCATGTGATAGCCCTATAAATATAGACAGAGACGAAGAGAGACCCTCTATTAGTGCCTTGCAAGGTCGATGGACCCAGGTTAGTCCATTAACAAGATGTTCTTTGCAGGGCCGGATTAGCCGGGCCCCTGACCCCATGGGCCCCCCTGGACGATTTTTTTTTATTATTACTATTTTCAATTCTTCATCTCAGCTAGAAATACAACCAGATCCACTAGGGGCCCGTGCACTTTAAAAGACAGATTTAGAAAGGCTCTAAGACTGGAATTTTGACTGTCATGGGGCCCTTAAATTTTCGGATATTGGGCCCCCAATGAATGTTAGGACCTGAGAACCTCATACAACCTCATAAAATGAAATCTTCGTTTTGCGAGCCCTAAATAAGACAATTTCCATGGACCCTTTGGCTATCCTATTAGTAAATCCCTGAATACGAATGTTTCGGTGGGATCCCGAGAGAACGTTACATAAGGGCCATCAAGGTTGACGCTATTGAATTGGAGAAGCCCTGCGAGACAGGATTTCGGGGGTCATAGGCCCGCCGAAATCCCAAGACTCAGATTTCAACTGATTCATCAACTGCGAGAGAGTTTTTTCTAAATGGAAAATAATTCAAAATCGACCTCAAGCTTCCATGTTCTAAAATCTTGTCGAAGCTCGCAACTTCTTCTGTTACTCGAGAGGGACTGCTGCCATGGACGAAGATAGGGGAAGGGTGGGGGCCTGGCTCTCTTTAGAAATCTACTTAAGACTTGACCTCTCCAAAGAAATGCGAGGGATTTAGCTAAATAAACGAATTATATATATATTTCATATTGGAATCAGTATCAATTTTTCGGGATAATATAAGTAGTATAGAAATAGGGATATTGCCACAAATTTGACCTTTAAGTCGGGAGCTACGTGACCCCGGTGTGGCTGTTGCGGGAATCGGTGTGACGTCACTGGCGACTGGTTGCGGGTTGCCTACCTATCGTTACCAGTGTTGTAAAATTGTGCAGAACCTATCGTTACCAGTGTTGTAAAATTGTGCAGAAAAATCGGAATTAATTTACGGTGAGGGGTGGGGTATGGTACATGATTTTACAACCATGATGTGTCGTCACTAGCGACTGTTGCCTACCTATCGTTACCAGTGTTGTAAAATTGTGCAGGAAAATCCGAATTATTCCGCGATAATCTGGCAACAATGTTATCATGTTACGAGGTGTTGTAAAATTGTGCGGAAAAATCTGAATTTTTTTAGGATGAGGGCTGGGGTATGGTGCATGATTTTCCAACCACGGTGTGACGTCACTAGCGACTGGTTAATTGTTGCGGGTTGCCTACCTACCGTTACCAGTGTTGTAAAATTGTGCAGAAAAATCGGAATTAATTTACGGCGAGGG